AGCTCACCTCCAACCCAGGTTATCATCTAGCCCAATGGTTAGCGCACTCAACTGGAAGCCCTTCGTGCAAGTCCCTGCTCCACCTCAGCCAGATTTAGGATTTGAATGGAGGGCTTGCATCTCATTGCTCTATAAAAAGCTAATATGACCGTGCTCTGGGGCTTGCATTGGATTTTGGTAATATTTTCTCTGTAGTTGCCCTGTCCTGAGAAACCTACATTTTTAAAGTCCAGAAACAAAATAATATAGTCCTGCTGCGTCTTTTTCCAACAGGGATCTAGAGCAGCCCTGCTGTGTGCTAAAGGGTGGTGAGGTCCAGGGTCGGGGCTGCCATGTGGTGGGGTCCGGAGTTGGAGCTACCGCCCAGCCCCACACACCAGCATCCAAGTCGGGGCTGCTGCCTGACCCTGCAAAGCAAGAGGCAGGGTCAGGGCTGCCAGCCGGTCCCACATGGCAGGGGTCGGGGTTAGCGGCAAGGTTCAGGGTTGGGACTGCTGGCAGGCCCCGCATGGCGGGGGTCAAGGTTGGGTCGGGTCTGCCGTCCGGCCTCTCACAACAGGGTCTGGGGTCCCTGCCGCCGGGCCTTGCCACCAGGGGCCGCATCTGGCCCCACTCTGTGGAGGGGGGTCTCTGGGCTAGGGGCACGGGGCATAGCAGGGTATGTAGGAGGAGGGTTGTGGGGGAGGAGAGAGGAGGCGGTGGTTCTCAACCTGCAGCCCACAATGATTAATAGGTTGAGACCCATTGATCTAGAGCAAGATTAAGCTTTATTCCTTTCTGCTACATTAGTGACGTTTGCCAAGCTATGGAACAGAGTGCCTTTTACCAGTGCCTCAGTGCTATTGGTTTGTAGATGTGTGTGGTTCAGCACAGAGTGTGACTGAGAGGTAAGCCCCGTATCTCATGCATAGACCTTCCAGCTGACTTTTAGGCCTCCCCACACATCACCTATGGCTACTGCTACCCTTGGAGCTGGGGAGAGGGGGTGCAACTCCGATCTCACGCAGACATGCTCACGCTAGCGCTCACTGTTAAAATAGATGTTTAGCTGCAGTAGCACAGGTAGTGGCGGCATGGGCTAGCCCCCATGACTGCATGCCCATGGGGGGATCCAGGTGGGTTTGTACATGGGGGCCACTAGCTCATGAAGCCGCTGCCAATGCTAGTGTGGCCACACTGCTATTTTTAGTGAACTAGCTCAATGAGAGCGAGTACAAGTCTGCCTATGAAAGCAGGAAATCACACCCACTGCTTCGCGTGTAGCAGTAGCTTTAGCGGCACTGGTGAATACCAAATGGTAGCCAAATGTCACTATTCCCTTCAAATAAACAGAACGGCCTGTTCTTAACAGCAAATTGCAAATACAGGCCAACACAGCTAAAATACTTGTTTGACTTACTTAGTAATATTAGGCCTGCAAGCAAAATAATGTTGTTAAAGGCAAAAAAGCTAGTGGTTAACTAGCATGGTTCAAATCTTGGTGTAAACTTACGTTGCTCCACTGCAGTCAATGAAGTGATGCCCATTTACATTAGCTAAGGATCTGTCCTAATTGGTACCGGTGCCTTGTGGCACGTCTATGAAAGAGCAGGAGCTCAAGCACCTGAGCTACACTACAGCTGAAAAAATGACCTTTGGATAAGAGAGTGCACACTGGTTACTAACGGCCAAGAGAAAAGTATTTGGGAGGAAAAAGCAAGCACCACTCAATAGCATATGGTGTATGTACTTCTCTCGCTCGCGCACAGTCGAGCAGAAAAAATTTAAGGCAACAGTCTTTGATGAATTTAATGTTCTCTGAAGACTGTCTCATTTAAAAATCAAACTCACTTATGACCTTTTCCCTAAACAGCAGGACAACACAAATCCATAAAGCAAAAGCAGTCAAATAGAAGACGAGGACATGAACTTAAATGAACTGTTTTATTCATGAACGATGTGTAAAATACACTCAAATATATTTGCTTTGTAGACTGGAGTTAAAAATATAAAAGTATACGTAACAAATACATAAATAAACAATAGTAGCATAGTTCTGTGCTCACCTAGTGTTTGTTAGAAACACAAATATGAATAATTATATAGCATATGAAAATGGAATATTTTCTGCAGCCATTTTTCTGAAACTTCACCCAGGCACAGAATTTATGACTTAAAAAAAATTGTTTAGCAATGTAAACTAGTGTGCCATTTGAGGACACTCTACAGTCAGCTACTTGACTTGACTTACTATATGGTTTTAGCTTTCAAATTAAACAAAAAAAAAAGCCAACCTGCAAATTACTCACCCAGCGTTACTGATACTTTATACCACAGTTCCACACTAGTCCATAGTCCTATGTATTTTCTGCTACAGTCATTCAACAAGGCCAATCTTATCTAGTTCATTGATCTGCTAGGTCATGAGTAACAAGCTGCTTTTACTTTGTGCAGCGTGGTGCCACAGGAGTGTCACTACACCAGCTAGAAAGCGGCTGGGCACAGGACAACAGGCCACAGGGAGCCTGCTAGTGCAACCTTTAATTCAGAGATGCACCCTCCAGGGACAATGGGACCCAGAATACAATGCTCAGAAGGCTGTCGCTGAGCACAGGGTCATCAACAAAAATGACTGTCATCTTATGCTTCAGCCTATTCACACAACTGAATGTCCTTGAAGCATTGCCAGACAGGCAACTAATTGTATGCAATTGCGAGCCATGCTAGTTATGGCTAGTGCATTGTGTACAAAGACATGCAGTTGCTGTAAGCCATACCTCAGTATTACACATGATTAGCTACAATCTATGGCTCTTGGACAAGTCACCGCACATTAACCCCCCCCCCCCCTCCCAACCCCGCTTGTCCCAGATGGTAACTCTCAGGCCATTGCCACGCAGTTTAGGCATAGTAACTTTGAATTGTACTTGGTCTCACTTTGCTGTCTATTGTTGCAGTACTTTGCTTTCCAAGGCACAGCATCAACTCCATGGCATATTATGTAAGCTGAACACAAAGCCGCTCTTAGGTCTTTATAGGCACTACAGCTGAAGGGAAATTCTTTATGTAGCGGCCTAAGGAGTACTTTTTTTGGCAGGCATTTATCAAGCACCTTTAAGCCATATAAATAACTATAGCAGCAGATATAATTTATAGAGTTGCACTTTCATGACATCGTCACAGTGTGTCTATTGCAATCATTTATTTCAATGACCTAGTTGTAATTAAAAAAAATAAAAAAAAACTCTTCTCTAAATCTCTAGCTATGTTATATGAAAGTTTTTGCTAAAATAGGTAGTAGGCCTTGCATTGGTATTGCACAGACTAAAACAATTCATCACAATTGTTATTAAATACCTGTCAATCAAAAAAATGGTTAACGAAGGGCCCTGTCCTGCAAATGATGATGTACGTAAGTGCCATTGCTCATGTAAATAGTCCCATTGCCATTAATTGGACTAGTCACATTGGGGGGTGGGGGTGGGGGTGAGGGGGATTTACAAGCTTGGGCCCCAACTGTGCAAATCCTAGCTCAAGGGTTAACAACATCGAGTGTTGCTTTTTAACCTTACAATTGGAAACCATCAAGAAGGGGATTCTTAGCCATACAGTATATACAAATCTTCAGTTGAAGATTATTTTCCTTAACACCTGTCTTTCTTCAGTACTGCAGTTCCTTATAGTCCAGCCTTTTGCTTTAACAGTTCCCTATCGGTTCTGGCATTCTACTTCAAGGCACAATAAATATAATTAATTATACTAACTGGTGGCTTGCACCAAAAATATTACAGCGCTTCTGCCATTTATTTGTTCTTAGTTATACTGGCTCCATATGACTATGTCAGCTTATTAGCTAGCATGCAGAACCAGTCATAGAGAGAGAGAGAGAGAGAGTGTGTGTGTGTGTGTGTGTGTGTGCATTGTCACATATCTAGGGAGAAATGGGAAGCTGTTCAAGAGCACTGTATGCGACTGTTTAGGGCTGCTCATCACTTTATTAAATGACGGGAGGCAAAAGTTCATGACCTAGAGGTACTGTTAGCATAAAGAAATGATGAAAACAGACTTTGGCTACGACATCATGTTTTGGCTGCTGATCTGTGCACGTTGCAGGCATAGTGGCAGGAAAACAACTTTAGAAAGAGGGATATGCTTTGTAGGCTTTTGAAAACCATGAACTACATATATACACCATTTACAATCATTGACTCGTGCCCGCCAAGCGTACACTATTGAACAGGTTTCAGTTCCTTAGCAGAAAAAAATGACATAGTACTAGCTCGTGAGGAATAATGTATATGGTACATTTGATATTCCTTCGAAGTGTAATTGTACTGATGGTAACTAACCTCATGCTTCAATCACTGCTGCAAAAAGCAGGGAAGTAGATGAGGATGGACTCCAGCGCACATAAAGAAGGCTAGTGGTGGCTTTATGGATAAAGTAAGTGAGAGCAAGAGAGTGAGTGAGAGTGTGCGTGCACACGCACTTGCTTTATGGCTAAACTCTGTTTGTCTGGGGGTTCACCTGTGGAGCAAGGGGTCCACAGGCCAGGGAATCAAAGTCATTGTCACACAAAATTGTCCAAACAGTTAAAGCAGCCTAAAGCTTTTGAGCAGCTGTGAAACCTTGTATAAAGGGAGGTCTCTGGAGCAGCTGCAGGAAGGGTGTCTGGTAAGGAGTAGGGGATGCCAGAGAGAGTGGCGAGGCACAGGGACTGTAGGGATGGTCCTGTCTATCTAGCGGAATTTGGGTGACCTGCAGTGTTTTTGAGTAGAAATCCCTGCTTGTTCTGTGTTGGCCAAACGCACCCAATCCACTGAGTGGAAAATTTGAGGAAAATTCTACAAGGGCAGCCTTGGCGTTTTCCTCTGCTCTTCCATTGTCACCTTCATGGGTATTTCTGCAGCAGGGAGGGACTACCCCAGCATGCAGAGATGCAAAAAAAAAAGGCCTATGTCCTTCTCTCTTCCTGGAACCTGAGGCTCAGTTCCTTCTTCTCAACCCTAATACATGATTTTATTTTAATTCTATGGACCAGGAGCTGTTTTCTCCTCACAGCTGGGGCTCTCCTGAAGTGCTGGCTGGGACAGCATTAAACTCTATGGGCCACACAGCCTGCAGTGGGGGTACTGACATGCCAAAGAACAGGGAATTTACAGCATCAGAGGCTTATTTGAACAAGTTCTCCTCCAAACAGCTCTGCCCCTTCCTTTCAACAAAAATATTCTAAGTTTTTGTCTTGTGGCAGGCTAAGCTTTCGCCAGATAACCCGTGTGGGAGGAGATCGGAAGGCAGGCCGAACTACCAAGCCTTCCCTTTCTCCTCTGGAAAGGATTGTTCTTTACACAAAGCTTTCATTATATTTTAATAGTGAACAGTCCCTTTCCTGTTAATTCAAAGTGAGTTTTTATAAACACAAAGAAACAAATGCTATTGATTGGAGTGGTCAGATTACAGTATCTTCAAGAGAAAAGTGATCTCCAATAAAGAGCCATGGCAGCTTAAATGCCACTATTACTGTGAAAACTGTTTCCATCTTTGGCATCTGTAAATCTGTATATTCCTGGGGGGGTCTATACTGATGTTATCCAGCCCAGCCTACTCTTTAAACTCTCTTGATAATGACTTTTATTTTAAAAAGGGATAAAAATTGCCAGGTTTTGCATCCTCACAGAAGTAAGTCTCTGCATGTCAGTCCGGGTGAATGTACGTGTAGTTTATTTATTGTCTTTGGCTGCTGTATGCATTCATTTACATAGTCATGTAGGTCAAATCTAAATCTGACCTCCCATCAGAGTAAAAGACGAGTTCTATTAAACTTCAAGGCAACATATGTTAATATTTTTTCACTAACATTCAGATTACAGTGAAACAGTTGCTCATAGTGAAGTGGACGGTTTTTTATTTGGATGTTAATGAGCTTTTGGTAAATGGTACATTGCAGTGCCCTGGCATTGTGGATTTCATCCATTCTGATCAAATCACAAGCAATCAGCAATCAATTTAAAGTTTAGAATTCCTATGTAGGACTACTATCTTTTATCTAACATGTATCTTATTTCATCTTGTGAACACTGAGTCAGCTAAAAAGGCTGGCTATCCTTAATGGATTTTTCTTGTATATTAAGTGCCAATACATAACTCAGCAGTTCTTTTTGACACACAGTTTAAAATAGTTTATGTAGAAAAGTTCCTAAAAACTTTAGTATGGAAAAATAGTATTATCTGAAGCTTAATATTAATATAAACATTATAGAAAAAATACATATTTACATAACACCAAAATACAATTATATACAATAATATCTATTACACTTAAATTATATATCTTTAAAAAAATCACCAGACCAATAAATTATACAAAGCTTCAATAGAAATGTCTGGCGCTTCTCTAGTGCATGAAACACACACACACACACACGCACACTCACTCACACAACGTTAACAGATCTGATCACAAAAGCAGGTGTCTGTTACATTCTTAGTGTCTCGAATAAACAGCATCTGAAAGCAAGGAAAACAGATTAGAAAAATCACCAGTCTGTTTTATTTTCATCTTTAGCAGATGAATATGCTGTGTGGAGAAGTGGCGGAGCACCAGCACTGTCTAGCGATTGGTATGACAAGAGGGAGGCACTGAGCAAGTTCCCACTCACAGCTCCGCCATAACACTTCAGTCAGGAGTTGTACAACTCCTGTTATTTCAGTCTTTGGCCTCTCACATGTGGAGGTGGGAGTCAGATCACCAAATTCTTTTCCACTTGAGAAAGGAGCCAGGTTTTGAAGATAGGTCATCAACAATGGAAAGCAAATGTCACTAATTACTGTTAAAAATCACTTGTGTTGCACTGGAAATACACATGGTGTTTCATGAACATAAAACATTTTCTCTCTCCCAACAAGCTTATAAGTAAAATGGACCAGACAAATGTGAGATGTGAAGTAAGAATATGCAAGGGAAACCAGGAACAGACAGTTGGTGAAGTGAAGGAGGAAGCAAATATTTTTGGGTGGAGTGAATTTTAATGAGGAGAGAGGCTTGGAAGTTGTTCCTATCATAGGGGACATCTTAATAGTGTGTACGATAGCAAGAGTGTGAAAGAAAGCTAAAGGGCATAGTAAGGTGACGGCACTGGGAGGTGTATAAGGTGTGAATGGGTGGTGTAGGAGGAAATGAGATCAGAGACTTAGGTGTGGAGGTGAAGCTGGGATTTAATAGGGAAGCCAATGGAGAGGAGAATGAGATGGCCAGAGTGACAAGAGAGGAAGACAACTGTAGCACCAGCATTTTGGATAGAGTGGAAGGGAGCAGAGGTGAGAAAGAAAGTCTGACAGGAGGTTATAATAACCCAGGCAAGAGATAATGCAATATGTCCCTGGCTATTAAATTGTGAATCTGAAACACTTTATAATTCAATAACTTTGTCCTACCTACCTCTGTGATACTCTGGATTCACATTTTCATATATTGGAAACAAGGGATTTTCTTGTTCACTGCGTAGCTTTCTTGCTCTTAACACGTCTCTCACACACTGATGTAAATAGACATACTGACACTAGAAAAGAGGGAGGGAGGTGTCAGAAATGAGTGAAATCTGCAAAGGAGTAAGAGGGTCTTACACTCAGATGCCATTGAATGGTAAAACATGGCGTGTTTTGCAACACCTTTGTTCCAAGGGAGATAAAAAGCCATGTCAGTTGTTATAGGAATGTGATCTTTTTCATAAGATTTTTATTTGAGCGGGTTTGGAAAATTCTCCAATGAAAATTTTTTCCACTGGAAAACAGCATTTTGTTGAAACTGAAAATTCCTATAGGAGCATGTCGATATCAACAACATTTCTTTTCAAAAAGAAATAAAAAAAAAGTTTCAAAAAAAGTCAAAATGTTCTGTTTTGACAAATTTGGAATGGAATGTTTAAATTTTTCCAAATCAAAATGGACTTTTAGTTTTGAAATAGCTTTCATTTCATACTGTTAAAATAATGAAAAAATTAAAATATTGAAATAAAAATGAAATGTTTCCATTGACTTAAAACTTGAAATTTTTCCAAAATTTTCTGGGAAATTGCAGAATTATTTCATTTCATTCTAATTCAGAACTAAACCAATTTTGAAATAGCAGAAATTCCTGTGACATGGACATTCTGGGTTCTGCACAACTGATTTTTATAGCAGCTTTCCAGTTCACTGTTGCTACCCATGCAAAACATTAAGCCTCATGTGACACAATGAAGTAAGCCCTAGTCAAGTATGTTTTTCTACCTTCCTGATAACAAGAGTAGGATGTGCTCAGGGCTACTTCCATGCTTGGCAGGGAAGTGCAGTTAGGCCCTGTTTATACTGGACAAGGAAAGCCCGTGGGATCCTTTTCTAACAAATTATATTTAAATATGGATGTTTTTTACCAGAAGGAGTCTATGTTCTTTCCCTTGCCAGTGCTGACAGGACTTAAATGTGCTATAAACTGGTTTATTAGACTATGATATTGGCTGTGACGTCCCTAGTTTTCCAGCAAGGTTAGCCCTTGTCTATGTAGGCCAAGTGAACTGTGTTGTCTCCTTTCTAAGGATAGTGTTTGAATAGTTTACTAGAAAGGAGCTAAGATGTTGTTTTGACCAGTGTGGACAGGACCTAACTGATATGATCTGCTATTTACCCAGGTTGCCTTTGCTTATACATAAAATGCTAATTCCCCATGCCTGGCCATTCTCTCAGACCAATGACCACAGGAACACTAGCATTACACGACAAATGTATTATAGTACCCATAGACCCGTAGACATTAGTGAATACGTCCTCATACTAAGGCTCTTGCTTTTAATTTTACTTTGCCTTAAAGGCATCATTGCCCCGGGGAATACAATTTTTTTTCAACAATTTCTCTTCATTTGCATAACAAGTTTAATTGTTGCTCTATACTTTCTCTACTGTCCTCTCTCTGGGAAAATTATGAAACCTGTTGTCATGCACATAAGGCTGCTGTCTCCAGGGAACAGAATTCTGCACCCCACCCACCTACTGAGTGGAAATCTGGCCAGGCCACAGCATCTTCAGTTAGCAGATACTGCTAAGGGCTCTTGTTGTGAGTGAAATGGGACAGTGATTCCCTGCCAGTTAGGCAGCTGTGGAGACTGCTCCCTACCATGCTAACCAATATTATTTCATTGTTTCCTTGTGCTCTCCTGTGGTCTCTTGTCTGGAGTTTACAAGCTATGTCTCACGCAGGGGCTGTCTTTTCATTCTGGGTCTGTACATTGTGAAGCACAATGGGACCCTGCTCCATGACTGGGGCTCTGAGGTGCAGGGGCGGCAGGTTATATGGGCCCATGGTGCCCATGCTCCAGCAAATCCAGGGCATGGGGACTCAGCTCTACCAATGTTCGGGGTTGGGTCTCTCCCCTGGCTCCATGCGTGCCTCCCCCGGAGTGTCCCTGCCTGCACCCTGGGCAGTGGGCAGCTGCCCTGCTGCTCCGCTCTGCGCTCTCTCGCCAGCCGCTGCTGGCTACAAAAGGGAGCGGCACCGGCAGCAGACTGAGGCGGTGGCTGAGGAGGAGGGGAAGAGGCACACACGTGATGGCAGCCCTCCCCTCCCCCTCCCCGGCAGCCACCACAGGGGAGGCGAGGGGGCTTCCTGGACCTGAGAGGAGCCCAGTCCCTAGGAGCAGGTGCACTGATTGTGCTGCGTGAGTGTGCTGCCGGGGGGAGAGAGAGGTCCCCCTCCCCCAGAGCTCACTGCTGCCAGCGGGGAGCAGGTTGGGGGGGGACTGTGGAGTCCTCTTCTCTGGTCCCAGCCCCGGGGTAGTCTGCACCCCAAACTCCTCATCCCCAGCCCCACCCCCCACCCCCACCCCAGAGCCTGCACACCCAGCCAGAGCCCTCACCCCCTCGCACCTCAACCCTCTGCCCTAGCCTTGAGCCCCTCCCACATCCCAAACCCTTCATCCCCAGCCAGAGCCCTCATCCCCCCACACACACCCCACATAGTGCAATATAGGGAAACTGTTTAAATGCTTACGGTTTCCAGTCCATTTTTACATTATTTTAAAAAATATATATCGGCTTACAAGGCAGGTGTTGGTGGGTGGGCAGGACTTGGACCCGTTCTGGGCACCACCAAGAATTATACAAACTTGCCGCCCCGCCAAGGTGCTACT